GTTTTACATTGTGAGGTCATTTTAGAAATTGGTTGTCTACATCACCACGGATTTAACTCGTGAAAATTTTCGTAGTATGATTTTCTACGAGTTTAAGTGTAAATTAACAGCTCAGCGGAGCTTTGCTCGGCTTCAAACTGCTTTTGGCGATGAAGCACCATGCAAGACGACTATTTGTATCTGGTTTGCAGAATTCAAATGCGGTCGTGTGTATCTCATTGACAAATTTCGTAATGGTCGCCTATCCACTGCTGTGAACAACAAAAACATCGATGCTGTGTGCCGTATGATCAAAACAGACAGGCATGTGACATACCATGAGATTTGGTCAGATTTAGGCTTATGCATCAGTCAAATACAATCAATACTACACAAACATTTGGGTGTGAAAAAGCTGTGCTTTCGGTGGATCCCACACAATTTGACTGAGGCTCAAAAAATGGATCGCGTCACTTGGTGCAATGCCATGCTTACCAGATTCAATGAAGGCGCGTCAAATTTGGTATTAGATATAGTAACAGGTGACGAAACATGGATTTATTTTATTTTTATTTTATTTATTGGAAGACCAACGGCTATCTTATAGAATAAAAAACTTAAATAATAATGGTGAGCCAATTATAGGTCCTCGCCGATAGATACATTTTGATTTGAAATTATTGAGCGTTAAATTACAACTAAACTATTATGATGCATTACGAACTATGGGTAAATATACAACACTTACAAATTCACTTTCCTATCAAAAAACAAATTACTCATTAGACGCTTCACCGATGCAACACTAGTGTTAAACAGGTCAATATCAACCTGTCTGGATAGTTGGTTAAAGCTGTTACCAGCACGCAAGAGATATGCATTTCGCCGATAGTTCGAGGAGGCCGAAGGTATATGTAAAGGCGAATTAAACCTAAGGGTCTTTGTGTCGGCTCTAAAGAAGATCTTGGACACAAGTTCTGGGGAGTCTACTGCACCAGAAGCAATTTTTCTTAAAAATACTAAGTCTGCAATCTGGCGTCGCTTCTCTAGTGGCAAGAGATGATGTTTCCTACATATTTCAAGATACCGGCTTGAATCATACCTCTCCCTTGTTCGATAACATAAATACTTAATGAATCTCTTTTGCACGTTTTCAATTCGTGATATATATGTAAGATACTGCGGGCTCCACACCTGCGATGCGTATTCAAGGTGGCTGCGTACAAGTGAGCAATATAAAATTTTTAGTGTCTTAGCCTGATGGAAATCTCTGGAGTTACGCATCACAAATCCAAGACTCTTTGAGGCTTTTGAAACGATCGAATCGATGTGGGAGGCAAATAGTAACTTATGATCATGAAACACACCAAGATCCCTTACCACAGTATCGCGTTGTAAAGTAATGTCTTTCAGTGAATAGTTAAATTGTATTAAGTTAATTTTACGACTAAAAGTGACGACAGTGCACTTAGACGGATTAAGGTCGAGTTGGTTATCGGTACAGAAGGTGTCGAGCCTACTAAGGTCTTCTTGAAGCAAGATTGCATCAGACACTGAAGAAATAGGTGCTATGATCTTCATATCATCCGCAAAGCATAGTAGTTGTGATGATTTGAAACAGTGTTCAATATCGTTTACAAAGATTGCGAATAAGAGAGGCGCGAGCAATGATCCCTGCGGGACTCCACTAGGTACCCTAAGCCACCAAGAGACATAATTTTTTACCACAACCGCTTGTGACCTATTGTAGATATACGACGTGAGCCACCTTAGCAAATCGCCACTGATACCGATCTTCTGTAGTTTGCATATAAGTAAGTCATGCCGAATTCGGTCAAATGCTTTGCTATAATCCGTGTAAATGACGTCGACTTGGCAGCCATTATCCATATGCGAAGTCAAATAGTCGTTGAACAGTATCAGGTTGGTCACAACGGAGCGCCCTTTCAAGAATCCATGTTGAGTGAAGCTAAATGATTGCCTGAGTGCAGAATAAAGTTGATCATAAACAACCCTTTCGAAAACTTTCGATACAATACACAACTTTGAGATTGGTCTGTAATTCATAATGTCCGTTCTGGAGCCTTTTTTGTGGACTGGTGTGACGTATGCACGCTTCCACACACTTGGTACCGTGCCCTCTACTAACGATCTATTAAATAGAATAGCGATTGGGACAGCTATAGTCACAGAACAGCGTATAAGGAAGTTAGCTGGAAGTAGATCTGGACCAGCCGACTTTGCAGGATCTAATTGCGAGAGAAGTTTTGATATAATATTACCATCTACTTTTATACTAGAAATGCTAGCAACGGTCGGGGTAGAAGCGTGTGCACAAAAAGTAGTTTGAGATGTCGATGGTACGTGGCTGTCCAAAAAATTTGAGTGAAAGTATTTGGAAAATGCATTACAAATGGAGTCACCAGTGTTAAGAACAGATTTATAGTAATGATCCCAAAACAAAGCAGCAATCGAGCGTATTGGTCTTTCGAGATGAGCCGAAACCAACCAAAGTGCGCATGCATAGCCGCTCACGCGATTCATGCGTCTCTGGAAGCATACCATACCTAGAGGTGCCGGTGATGATTTTATACCGATTTTTCGGAGTTCGAAGTTATAACAGGTAAAAGAACTAATACTAATTGCTATTGCGGTAACTACTCTAGCAAACCATAAAGTTTTTAATGCCTGGGTCTGTCATTTAAAAAAAATAAACAACTTATTATTAAAATTGCTTATTTTTTAAATAAAACTGGACACGTGGCTACTGTTGATTGAGAGAATCGTTGCACCGTGAATAGTGATTGGTACACGATCATTTGTTTGCCGGAAGTTATTGACAAACCCCGTAAAAATAACCGTAAACGCCGTATCATCTTATACCACGATAATGCCAGTTCTCACACGGCCAGAGAGACAAATGAATTTTTGAAGGTGAACAACGTTGACCTTATGAGCCATCCCGCATAGAGTCCGGACTTGGCACCTTGTGACTTGTATTTATTTCCAAAAATTAAGAAGCAGTTATGCGGTCAACGATTTTCATCACCTGGAGAGGCTGTCGAAGAGTATGAAAAATATATTTCAGTGTATTGTCACGGAGGAGTGGCATAAATGTTTTCAACATTGGTTCATTCGTATGAATATTCTCCGTTAGGGTTAACGCACTTTATTAACCCTAACGGAGAATATTTTGAGAAACAATAAATTCATTTCTAATCATGTATAGTATTTCTTTCATATTCATTCCGGAAAATCATAGCGTGCCTCACGTAGTGCCGATTAAATACAGCATTTTTCTTGTAAAATTTCGAGGTAAGTTTGTGTTCTTTTTGTATCTGAAAATGTTTAGGAATGGTGTTTTCACACCACATACTAGTCAGTGCATATACTCAATTTTACTATATATATATTTTTAAAGTGATTGACTCAACACTCTCACTGTTATGTAGAATCAACCATAGACTCCTAGTGTAGGCGATTACGTGTGCCGTTAGACTTAAGTTCTCCATTGAGCCGCTTAGACAGAGCACTTGCACGCTATTACAATATGCGACGTTCGTCGCTTCGAAAGAAAAAAAAATCAACTTGAAATTGATGATATGTTGGATCTTATTAACTTCAGTAAGTTAACTTCAGTAATTTGCCTTTAGTATTTTAACCTTTGTTCTTGTTTGCATAGATATCGCTGTTTTTATACAATAACGCAGTATTAGAGAATATATAAAGGACGGTATGATAAAGGGTAATTAAAATTAAAATTGTATTGAATTGATAATCAATTATTTTTTGTGAAATCACTCCACTAGTTTGTTATAATTATTAATACAAAGATCGAACATGCAGAAAAAATTCCCATGATCCGGCCGGATTCGAACCTACGTCTTCTAGCACACCGTGCCAGACGCTATGCCAACTAAGCCACGGGACGAACCAGCGGATATTTGATCTTAGTATTTGGTTTTTCAACGACTTTTTAGCCGTAGCGCCATCTATGAGAAATTTCTGAAAGTATTTCGTCACCCGGTTTGGTAAATTTACAGCTACCAGCCCTAGCTAGAGATGTCGCCACTAACTGTATTTAAATTTTGTATTTATCGATCGATATCGACCTCAAAACTATCTCCTTTTTATTCGCTTTTGTAGTGTTCGTCACGTAATCTTCTCAACGATAACTAAAACGCATAATGTAGAAGTCCTCGTCAAAACTAATAATATGAGACTAAACACAAGGTAGCTGCTGTACACTATTGAGGAGTTCCTCTCAGATGTCTGCCGTTTCCATCATCAGATCACCTCTAGGTCACCATAACATTTTACTTTCATTGAAATTACATCTATGTGCCAAGATTTATTGGAATCGATTAACGGAATGTGGGTGAAATTCAATAAACCGGATTCATCCCCTAATTTGCAACCCTTAAACGAATATCTTCTTCAATAAAATATCTTTTATGATGTCGGTAAAAAATATCTCGAAAAACTGTGAAGTTTCCAGCTCACTTATAAAATAAGTACTTTTGTCATGAGTCAGTTCTGAAAAAAAATATATAGACATGTCCAATCTTCGATACTTCCCGTGAATCACCGAACTAATTTTTTTATACACTCCTTCCATGATATTTATGAAACTAGCCGGAAACGGCCACTGGCAGAGTTGAAACAATTAGCCTCACAAGCCGTTCATTACGGAAAAAAAACATATACAAACGAACGGCTGTACTTTAGCAATATTTTCTATGTTATTTCTTTTTCTTTTGAATCATTTGAATTTCCTTCTTTTTTTTCTTTCATCTATATTAAATAAGTAAGTGTATTATTTAATTGATAAATACCACGTAAATTAAATTATTATTTTCTAATCCTGATTGTAATTAAATTTATGAGTTGTCAAATGTGTGTAACGAAACGTAATTTTTGCAATAATAAACGAAGGTAGATGAAAAAATAACTACGTTACTAAAACTGAACGCGTGATATCAGATGAAATAGAATCGAATAAAGTTCTTGAGTAAATCTGTGCCAAAACACTGTAAACACAAAAATTAAGAATATAAAATCATTATTTGTGAGTGAATCTTTTTTGCGAGAAAGAAAATGATACTGTAAACAATGAAATGTTCCGTGGAAGTAAGTAAAGCATTTTTAAGTATTTTTTGTTTAAAAAAAACCTTAATTTTATTCTTAAAATTTTAGTTTATCTTTCCGTGTAGCATTAATAATCGTTAATTGCAATTTTGCTGCGAAAAAAATATTTATATGGAATATGGCATTGGAATTCTCTGCCCGCTCAACTTGGGCCTTTTCAAGGCGAGAGTGAATAGGCAATCGTTGATCTTATCGTCACTTATCATCATGTCAAACTTAATTTTTATTACAGCGGAAAGTTCATTATGCAATGTACAATATCGTTACAAAATTTTGTTTCCATTCCGTTCCACCGCAATATGAATTGAGCCCAAGATGGAGGTCAAATGTGTCCTTATTTTCTATTATAAAAAACCCATGATTCGACTCAGAATTACATGTACTGTATTTTTTTATAATATAACTTAGATTTCCATTAGATTTCCTTTGGTGTAGGCAGAGACTACCCATCGGTGTTGGAAAAATCTTTTTGCTGGCACACGTTCTTTGTAGGTTTGTGATTGTTTTGAATTTTGATTTAATTTTTTTGTGTTCTTTAGCAAAACGACACGGTAAATACATTGTTTTCCTCTTAACGACACTTGTGTTGTTTATAAGTTCAAAATTTAATTAAAAAACGTTCGGTCGCTTTTATTATCCAGCTATTATTGACGCAGCAATTCAGAAATTGGTGGATCATTGTGTACAAAGCTCTTCGTTATTTATAATTAAAAAAAATGAAAACTCGTTCGTAATGAAAATGAAAATTCAGCGGTCGGCTAAATTAGGTGCAATCAGAGATAGGCACCGAGTTAAAACCCATTTAACCCGTCCCTGTTTTAACCGGATTTTTTCCCAAAGTGCCGAAATACGGAATTTGTCGTACTTAATCCTATACTTATTACAAATTTGAATGTAACAATTACTTTTTTGGACGTAAAAGAAGCAACTCCATACAATACCCATCTTGCAATCCTTTGGATCCCACTACTAAGGATGTCTATTACGATACTATTTATACTCGATTCAAGTACATACGATGTAATGATTTTTTGTATCGATTTATTTCAATGTGATTTTCAAGAGAATCAATTCAATTGAATGGTAAATCGAAGCCTTTAGATCGGAAAGCAATAAACATTTTGTTATAATATCATTACATTTAAACAAAATTCTAATTACAACAAATAATTTTAGTTGTAAATAGTTTTTGCCCTCAATTCCGGGCATCAATGGGTTTTAGCCTGATTTAAACTCTGCATTGACACAGCGCCGGGTTAATACCGGGCGCTTGCCTATCTCTGGTTGCAGTGCTACTCGTGTCTTATTATATTACACGAAATGCGAATATATTCCTGTGTTCTAAACCAAGTTGGATGTAAGCAGAATATCTTTACCAAAATTCATTTTTAACCGACTTCAAAAAAATGTATGTATGTTACACGATTAATCAGATATTTGTCTACCAATTTTAATGATTCTTTTTTTTGTTATAAAGTGGTACCTTTTTATTATAATAGTGTTCCCACATAAGTTTGAAGAAAATATTCCAGAATCTGGTTTATTGGTTTTTACTCAATTTTCGTTAACCGATTTGAAAGAAACTTGGCAAAAAGATGATTCCAAAAACTTTTGAGATATTTTTTTATTAAAAAAGTTATAATTATTGGATGCACAAAATACTTTTCCTTCAGTGCGACATGTTTTAGGGACAATTTGAAGACCTAATCTAGAATCTAGACCTAAGACTTGTACATGCGTTACTATATGGAGTGTAGACATATTGGCATAAGGATTAGAAAGAAGGGAAAAGTAAATTAATAAATTAAATTTTTATTGAATTGATATTCAATTATTTTTTGTGAAATTACTCCACTAGTTTGTTATAATTATTAATACAAAGATCGAACATTCACAAAAAATTCCTTCAATCCGGTCGAATCCGAACTGGTAGCTGTAAAGGTACTAACTGGGTGATAAATCTGTCATAGATTTCTCATAGATGGCGCTACGACTAAAAAGTCGTTGAAAGACCAAGTACAAAGACACGACGCAAGCACGTGATGTAACCTGGACGTCCCCAACCCACATTGGGCCAACAGGGCGGACTATGGCTTAAACCCTTGCCAGAGAGGAGACCCATGCCTTGCAGTGGGACGTATAAATGCGTTGATGATAATTATAAATGAGGAGACGAGTCAAAATAATTGGTACGAAGTCTACAAAGATTTTCACACAATATTTGATTTTTAATTCGGGACTTAATCACAATAAATGAGTGTTGGGTGTTGGTCTAGTGAGAACCCTAGTGCACAAATATGCGGGTAGTTGGAAGATGCTGACACCCGCCTCTTCAGTCCCTCCGAGACAATGGACGTTGCAATGCGTCCGAAACGTCGAGGTAATTAAAATATGTTAGATACGTGATTAAGTTCCGAATTAAAAATCAAATATTCTACAATGATTGTTCTCGAAAACATATTCTACATGTGTAAATTAGTAAGCTTAGAATAATAACGCATAGAATGATAGTTTCATATCAAACGAACTGTCACAAGTGAGGCAAAAATCAAATTCATGTAGGCTAGTTATAGTAGTAGGTTAATTTTCGGTTTTAGTGAGTATTTATATAAAAATACAGGTTGAAACGCATTACTTCCTCGTGGAATGTGATGTTAGTATCTATTTTATGTTTGTCTGACGTATTTTTACACTCATTTACCGCACATTTCGTCATTTTTAGCTAAAATTCTGGATCTGTTCGCGGTGCAAGTTGACCTTGAGCACTGAAGGCGCGCCCGCTCGTGTAGGCCCTTTTGGCGCGCTTCAATTTGCCTCACTTAGCGTGTGCGGACTAGGTTTCTATGCGTTATTATTCTAAGTTAGTAAGTGTAAAAAGAATAACTGCAAAAACCAACCTCGAAAGTTCGTGGAATTACATCTATTTGCCAAGTTTTATTGAAACCGGTTTTATCGCCTAGTTTGCCACCCTTAGAGGTGAAATTTTATTTTTCGAATTTAAATAGGAACAACGCTTTCCAAAAAAAAAAAAGAATCATCAAAACGGGTTCACAAATGTGAGTGCCGGAGTAAACGCGTAAAATTCATTAAAAAAAAATAAACATACAGTGTTATTGAGAACCTCCTCTTTTTTAAAGTCGGTTAAAAAGAACGCCAGTGTTACTATTATATAAATAATGAATTTTAATAATTCATTCATTATCAAGTCATTTAACTTCAAGAAAAACAAATAATGCAGAAATTAAAACGTATTAGACATTGACTTACAAATAAATGGACGACGGGTCTAATACAAAAACCACGAAAAAAATGTCCCAAGTCAACCTATTTAAACGTAGTGACATGTCAAGGAATATGAAAAAGCTAAAACGTTGAATTTAAATTGTAATGCCATCGCAGTACTGTCTAATTTTGCTTGCTTCGCCGTCAGTCGAACAAACGAAGACTAAAGCGTGAATGACGCTCTGTATACGATTTTAACGCCCTATAAGTTCGGACACATTTTAGCGCGGACCCGACGTCCATATAATTGTAAGTCAATGGTATTAGAGTACAAATTTTCTCTCTTTTTTTTTTTTTTTTTTTTTTTTTATAAAATATAGGTGCGCATTTGACCTCCATCTCACCTGATGGAAAGTGACGATGAGGTCGACGATGGAGCATGCACACCTAAATAATGCCTATTCACTCTCGCCTTGAAAAGGTCCAAGTTATAACGTTCAGGGAACAAGTCTGCAGGCAGGGAATTCCACTCCATAGCCGTTCGCCATATAAATGTGGAAGCGTAACGCTTCGTGCGAATCTTTGGAATATCCACAACATAGGGGTGGAACCCAAGCCTACGCCTAGTCCCCCGGTGATGGAAAGGGGAAGGCGGAATTAAATCATGTAATTCCATCGCACACTCTCCGTGATATATCCTGTAAAATACCGATAAGCAGGCAACTTTACGGCGGTGTTCAAGGCTCTGCAGCTTCGCCTCCACTAATTCCGAGTCACCTATAAGTCTCTTGGCACGGTTGTCAATTGAATCCAAAGTGGCCAGTTGATATGTCGCAGAGCCATCCCAAAGGTGGCAGCAGTACTCCATGCACGATCGGACTTGTGCTTGGTACAGCTGGAGCAACTGTCCCGGTGTAAAGTACCGCCTCACCCTGGAAAGGATCCCAAGCTTCCTTGCTGCATTTTTGGCCGTGGATTCAATGTATCTGCCGAAGTTCAAATTGGACGACAGGTCCATTCCAAGTAGCTGGAGACAATCGGCTATCGGTATGGATATATCACGAAAAGTCGGAGTCAGCTCAAAGGGACTCCGTTTTGTGGAGAATAGACACGCCTGCGTTTTGGTAGCGTTAAATTTGACAAGATTGGCATTGCCCCAATCGGAGACTGCCTGGAGTGTCAAATCTAAACGGCTAACCATGGACTCTCGACAAGACTGGATTTCCTCTCCACTGACCCTTGCATTGGTCAAGTACCTATCTACAACTGTGCTGTCATCAGCATACGCAAAGGTACCTGGAATTAACATATCATTGATATGCAGCAGAAAGAGAGTTGCAGACAGTACGGAACCCTGAGGAACTCCGGCATCTATCGCCATATGTTCGGAAGAGTAGCCTTCTAAGACCACTCGAATCGAACGTTCGCTCAAGAAATCCGAGATCCAATTGCAAAGGTCAGTGGGAAGCCCATAAGAGGGAAGCTTGCTTAAAAGGCTTGCGTGCCAGACCCTGTCAAAGGCTTTAGAAATGTCCAAAGACACTGCAAGTGCTTCGCCTTGCTTTTCTATAGCCTCGCTCCATATGTGACAGGCATACACAAGAAGATCCCCAGTAGATCGCCCTCGTCGGAATCCGTACTGGCGATCACTGAGGAGATCGTTGTCTTCAAGGTACGATAGGAGACGGTTGTTGAGTACACGTTCCATAGTCTTGCAGAGTATGGAAGTGACTGAGATAGGTCTATAGTTGACAGGGTCA